CTGGGGGAGACCAAGGACCTGCAGCTCTGAGAAGGTGCACCCAGCACAGGAGAGTTGCCCGGTGCAGCCATGGCCTGGCTCGGGGACTCCAGCTCTTGCGGGGTGAAGGAGCCCAGGGCCAGGGAGGCCGGCAGGCTGCAGTGGGGCAGCCCGGCATCCCTGACAGGGGTGGACTAGCCCACTGGACAGACAGGCTGGTTCCAGACACTGCCCAGGCAGGGGGAGTTACAGAGGGATGCTTCAGGGGCAGCTCCGTGAACTGGATAAATTCATCTTTTTTTTTTAGATTTTTTTTTTTTAATGTGATTCATTTTTTAAAAGTCTTTATTCAATTTGTTATGACATTGTTTCTGGATTTTTTTTTTTTTGGTCACATAGCATGTGAGAACTTAGCTCTCCAACTAAAGGTGGAACCTGCACCCCCTCCTCATTGGAGGGCAAGGTCTTCATCACTGGACTTCCAGGGAAGTCCCTAAATGACCGAATCTTTGAGATGCAGTTGCAGTATTTCGTAACCAGCAAGTCAGCAGGTGGCTCTGCCCCTAAGAAGGAGATAAGATTGGCTCAGATTCTCTGTGGGGGTTTAGCTCCATCCCAGAGACGTTAGCTCTGTCCTGACCCCCATCTCTGTACTTTCCACCACCACTCTGGGCTCAAAGTTATGTCCTTGTCTCTCCCAGGTATGGGCCTCATCACGTAATCCTGTTTCCCTTCCCTCTGTCCATACTCTACTGAAAAATAAAAGCTAAGCTCTCTCACACTCCTCAGGGTAGAGAGTTCCAGACCTTTCCTGGGGTCCTGCCTGCTTAACCCAAAGCACAGAAGCTTGCCCTTGGCCAGCCAGGAGCCACCTCCTGCCAGAGAGACTTCTGCCCACCCTAGTCCAGCTACTTGCAATGTTAGCTTCCATATGTTAGATACGTGTTTCCAGGAGTGTATCTTACTGACAGTGTCTCAGCCTAGAAGTCCTCACCTCTGTTCACTTGAGTTCCTCCAAGGAGCCTGGCACATAAGGAGGAAAGGAATACAATGACTGTGTGCTCTGTCGTGCCTGACTCTTTGCAACCCCATGGACCACAGCCTGCCAGGCTCCTCTGTCCATGGGATTTCCCAGGTAAGAATACTGGAGTGAGTTGCCATTTCCTGCTCCAGGGGATCTTCCCAACCCAGGGGTCAAACTAGCTTTCTGTAGACAGAACAAGGGGGTAGGGAAATAAAAAGGGGAGGCAGATTTTTTTATTGTACAGTCTTTTGAATTTTGAACCATGTGAAATATATTCTAGCCAAAACTTAAAATTGTTTTAATTGAATTATATAGTTGAGTTACAACATTGTGCTAACTTCTGCTATACTGCAAAGTGACTCAGTTATACATGTATATACATTCTCTCTTCCTATATTCTTTTCCATTGTGGTTTATCACAGGATACTGAATATAGTTTCCTGTGCTATATACAGTAGGATCTTGGTGCTTATCCATTCTATATCTAATAGCTTACATCTGCTAACCTCAACCTCCCACTCCATCCCTCCCCTATCTCCTTCCCCCTTGGCAACCATTAAGTCTGTTCTCTACATCCACGAGTCTGTTTCTGGTTCGTAGATAGGATCCTTTGTGTCATATTTTAAATTCCACATATAAGTGATATCATATGGTATTTGTCTTTCTTTTTCTGACTTACTTCACTTAGTATGACAACCTCTAGTTGCATCCATCTTGCTGCAAATGGCATTATTTCATTCTTTTTATTGCTGAGTAGTAATCCATTGTGTATAAATACCATATCTTCTTTATCCATCTGTCAAGGGACATTTATGTGTTTCCATGTCTTGGCTATTGTGACTATTGCTGCTATGAACATAGGGGTGCATGTATCTTTTTGGATTAGTTTTGTCTGGATATATTCCCAGGAGTGGGATTGCTGGATCATATGGTGATTCTAATTTTAGTTTTCTAAGGAAACTCCCTACTGTTCTCTGTAGTGGTTGTACCAATTTACACTCGCACCAACAGTGTAGGTTTTCTCCACACCCTCTCTGGCATTTGTTACTTGTAGAGTTTTTAATGATGGCCATTCTGACTGGTGTGTGGTGGTACCTCTCTGGAGCAAAACTTAAATTTAAAAATACACATAAGAAAAAGAACAAAAAGAAACCAGTTGCAGAAGGCAGAAACAAAGACATATTAGTCTCTTCCTTTTAGCTTTGCATAAAGTGATTCATACTGTCAAAGATTCCAAAGTGAAAATACAAATTCTATTTATAAAGATTTTCTAACATTGCTCAATAAAGTAAGCATCTGGACTTTTAAATGCAAAAGATCAGTCAGATTTCTGGCTCCCACTTAGAGTGCAGAGCTCTGCAAAGTGCATTGCTCTAACCCTTACCCCAAAAAAGTGCCAAATAATTTACAAAATGACAACTTTTCATGAATTCATCAGAGAACTGTGATGGAAGGCAATAAACTAAGCTGAAATCTAAGGAAAAGCAGGCACCACCAAGGAGAGATGGGACACAGGTCCTCAATTACCTGTTATGGAATTGTACACCATATAAGCTGGAAGGAAGAATCCAACCAAACTTTTTAATGAGATGTTAAAAGCTACGTGTGGGGCCTGTGTGGATGTATAGCCCCCTTGAGAGCTGCAGACTTCAGGGAAATCCACACCCGCTTAGAGGCCCTTCTCCATGGGAAACACTGGATGCTCACAAGAAAGATGGGGAGAGGATGAGTGATCAGGGCAGACCTATCTCTTGGTTCAGGTCTGGGGAAAGGGAACAGTGCTTTCAGAGAAGCACAAAGTTCCATGCAGATCCTTCTCAGTATATTCTTTATGAAAAATACATATATAACCATTGGGGAAAGGAGAGCAAACCGCATGGTCCTTAAGGCACAGGATCCATGGCAGTTGGGAGAAGAGTAAAACGCTCAATCCTGGGGGAGAGGGGTAAAACTACATGCAGACCAGAAGTCCTCTACCGATGGGGGAGGGACAGAATCACTGAACTGTCCCCCCTCCCAGACACAGCACCTGCCCAAGCTGAAACCAAAGGAGAACAGCAGAGGCTGCCCCCCGACCCCCACCCCATCCTAACAAATATTGAGTAACAACAGCAACACATTGCTGGGGGAGGATCAAGAGGGTGAAGAGAAATTTTCCCTAAGAGATAGATGCAAAGGGAAGCCTTAAAGGGAGGGCTTAACAATTCACCCCATGTTGATCTGTATGTTTAGTACCATTCCAACAAAACTCTAGGCAAAAGTTGTTAATAGAAATGGACACACTAAAGCCAACATTTATATGCAAAGGCAAAGGACATTGAAAAGCCAAACCAACTTCAAAGAAGAAGAGCAGAATTGGAGGAACCATAGTATCTGACTGCAAGACTTACTAGACTTTCTATAAAGCTGCAGTAGTGAGGGTGGTATGGTTTTAGAGGGAAATATATACAAATAAATATTAATAATACTACTATATAATAACAATATATTTATATTAATGTATATAAGTATATATAGAATATATGCAAATAAATATATGGTATATATTTTATATATATGTTTACTTCTGTAGAGATGTATTTTATGTAATGCATATTTATATAATATACATATATAATATGAAAATATATTTTATATGTTTTATAAATATATATATATCCATCAATGGACAGAAGAAATAACCCAAAAATAGATCCACATATTTAGTCAACTGATTTTTTGCAAAAATACAAAGGCAATTCACTGGAGAAAGGATGCTCTTTTTAATAAATGATTAGAAAAGAATTAAATACCCAAAACACACAAAAAATTAAGAAACAAACTTTAAGCCACATGTCCCACCCTATATGAAAATTACCTCAAGGTGAATCTGAGCATGTGCTCACTCATGCTAGACTCTTGGTGACCCCAAGGACTGTAGCTCACCAAGCTCCTGTGTCCATGGAATTTCCCGGGCACGAATACTGGGATGGGTTGCCATTTCCTCCTCCAGGGGATCTTCCTGACCCAGGGATCGAATCCACATCTCTTGCCTCCTGTATTGGCAGGTGGATTCTTTACCACTGCACCACCTGGGAAGTCCTCAAAGTGGATCTAAATGTATGTAAATGTAGTACCTAAGATTGTAAAACTTCTGGAAGGAACGTAGAAGGAAAACTCTGTGACTTCAGCCACCTGGACCTTACACCTGGAATCTGCATGACACAGCTGCAGAGGCCTAAGTTGTGTTCCCCCATCTCCTACCTTCCTGATTTTCCTGGCGACATTCACTTCCTAGAGACGTTTGCAGGTTGTTGGTTATTTGCAACTAAATGCAGAACTAAAGGTGGGTGTTCATCCTTGGAACAGTTCATCTCACTGTTCTCTAACTTGCCCTGCCATCCTGAACCTGGCTTCAGCTTTCTCACCGCCCACTCAGCTTTGGGTCAGCTGTGAGCCTGGTTCGCCAACTCCACTGAAGCCAGAGAGAAACTGCTCATTCCAGCCCCCCACCCTAGCAGGTGCTCCTTGGACCTTTTCTCCTGCCCTCAGTCAATTTTCTTCCTACTCAGTATGTGCTCAGTGAAGTTGGAAGAGAAAAAAAAATAAACGCCCAAACCCACAATTTCTTCACTGTGGGTTTGGTCATTTATTCAGTTTCTGTTTATTCCCTCTGTCTGTCTGCCTGTTTATCCATCTTGTTAACTAGGCCTGACTTAACCACAGAGTCTCAGAATTGTAGTTGTTGAACCAAGGGTCTGCCTTTCTGTGTGTGCGTGCAAGTGTGTGGATGTTTCTGTGTGTGTGCGTGTGTGTGAGTGCATGGGTGTGTTTATACAGAAGTGTGGAAGAGGCAGGAAGAAATGAATAGGAATGAGAAACTCTTTTTTTTTCCCCCTGGAGGGAAAGAGCCAGAAATTACATCCGTTCAAAAATATCCTGCCTCTCTCACAGATAAATATAGCGACATGGGTAGATGTGTCACCGAATAAAACTCTCAAAACAAATCCGGGAAGAATCACTTGAAGAGGCTGCCACTGCTGGCTCTGTCCTGTGGTTCCTCTGTCCCCCATCTCCCGACCCCACACTCCCCACAGCAATCAGGAGGGAGAGCGAGGAGGGAGGTCTGTGCCTGGTTTCCCCCAGCATTCTCGCCAAGGGGAGGGGTAGTAGGAGCAATGATGCTGGTCAGAGGGGCTCGGTCACCAGATGCCCCCTCACCGCCACGGGGAAGAGTTTGAGAGACCACTTCGCCCCGTGACAGAATAGGAGCGCAGCCCCAAGAGACGTATTTACCAAGCATGGTGTCTGGAACTAAGGACCTGTGACTTGGACTCAAGGGCACCATTAAAACCATTTGGCCACCAGCAAAGCAGAGACACCTACCGGCCAGAATGGACATTGCCAGAGGGGAGGTACAGTCATCCTAGCATTGCATGCCAGCTGAGACTCAGCCCCCCTTAGGAGCACAGGGAATGAGTCCTTCCAGCAGCCCTATGAAGGAGGCATCATCATCCCATTTTTCAGATGGGGAGACTGAGGACAGGAGTGATTCAATGATTGATCCAGGGTCCTGTGGCAGGTCATGGCACAGCTGGGCACCATCTCTTCTGAGAGTGTCAGGGAGGCCACCCTGCCACCATGTACTGAATGGTAGAAGCTCTACTGGCCCCCAGCCCAGCCTGGCCCATCAGCAGAAGCCTCAGCAGTTGGGTCACTGAAGGGGCTGCACCAGCATCCTAAGCCCTGTGGGAACAGAGGGTTGTCGTGGGTCTTCGAGGAGGAAGGATAGAGCCGTTTCGCAGTTGTGAGCTTCTCACTACCTAACACTCCCCTCACCTCCTCCTCAGCCTGGACCCCTCACTGTCCAGTGCCTCAAGTATCTGTCGGTCCACCTCTGCCATAGGCCTGGGACACCTCTCTTGCCTGGCCAAGCAACAGCACCTTAGGCCAGCTCTGAGCTCCAATAAAAAAGTTTCTTAACATCTTTTGGACCTGTGGAGTCAAACCAACCTGGATGGAAATCCCCCCTCTGCCACTCCCCAGCTCTGTGGCCTTGGAAAAAGTAATGTCTTATTTATTAGTTTCTTATTGATGCTGAAACAAAAGTCCACAAACTTAGTGCCTTAAACAATCTTACAGCTCTGAGGAAAGGTGCCAAAATCAGTTTCACTGGGTTAAAATCAAGGTGTCTGCAGGGCTGTGCTCCTTCTGGCTCCGAGGGAGAATCCAATTCCTTGCCTTTTCCAGCTTCTAGAAATTTCCTGCATTCCTTGGCTCGTGGCCCTGCATCACTTGGACCACTGCATCCATCACTACATCGCTCTCTGACTCTAACCCTCCTCCTTCACTCTTATAAGGATCCTTGTGATAACGTAGTGTCCCTCTAGATAATCCAGGGCAGTCTCCCCATCCCCGAATCCTTAATCACACACCAAGCCCCTTTGCCATTTATGGGAACCTAGTCACAGGTTTTGTGGATTAGGGCATGGCCATCTCAGGCAGGGATGGGGAACATTACTCAGCCTACCACACCTCACTTTCCTCATTTGTAAACTGAGGATGCTAATCTGCACCTCCCAAGTCTGCTGGGAGGACCAGTTACATTACAAAATACTCTGCCTTGTACCTGGCACAAAGTTTAAAATGAGGTCCTGAAAAAGCACTCTTTGCCCCTACCCCATCATCTTTCTCTGGAATCTAAGGTGCCTGTCCCCAGGCTGACTCTCCGTGGGGACTTTAAGAATCCCTGTGGAAATAAACCATGGGGGTGATGAATGGCTCTGACCTCCCAAATGCCGTGGCAGGGCTGTTTGCAAATTTAAAGGTTTCTAGGCAGCAGGAGGAAGAATGTGAGCAGAAACATGGAACGGTATGTGCAGGGACATAAATTCCAAGGGGTTTTTGTTAGGAAAGCAGAACAGAAAACCATTCCATCTGCATTCCCCACATTGGAACTACTCTCCCAGGTGGGCGGGGCTGAGGCCCCTTCCAGTAATGGAGCACATCTTCCTAGAGTCAGGGGTGAAGCCCTCAGCAAAGAGGGCAGGACAGTCTGAGAGCCAGGTCCATGCTCACTGCCTAGGCCCGGGGGCTCATGGCTCTAGATCACAGGAGCTGGAGCAGCAGGTGGCTAGTCGGAGCAGACAGGCAGGCCCCACCTTCTGGGAAGGAATGAGAGCCCTGGGAGGTTGTGTCCTTTATGGAGGGCAGGGGATGGGGGGTCCAGACTCCTAGAAAGCCCTCCTGATCCTCCCTCCACCAGCAGGCTCTCACCCCACACAGTTTAAGCCCATTTTAATCCAATATTCTGATTAGTAAAATGTCTTTCAGCACGCCATCTAATAAATACATATTTTAAATTATGTGGCATGAATTGCTACCCAAATATATCATGCTCATTAGAACTTTCAGAAATATAAGCATAGCATAGTTAAAAGCTAAAAATATATATAAACAGAACATTTTTATCCTGCATTCAGACAAATGAATCCGTGGGCATGCCTCACTCTGGAGGTAGTAGAAACTCTAGTTGCATTTTGTTTCTCTTCTGTTTTCTTAAATCTTGTTTATTTGTGTGTCCAATTCAGTGAGCTCCTCTCTTGTCAGGCGGGGTTGGTCTCTGAGTTTGTCCTCCTGGCTTGTTAAGTTGCCAAAGACTAAGAGCATTGTGCTTTGGACCCTGCAGACTGCGGCTTACACAGCTGGTGCTAATAAAGTTGTTCAGTATTTTGTGAACATGTACTCTGAACCCAGAACTTTGTGGCCGGCGCTGAGGGGGTTCAAAGAGCAAGACGTGGTCCCGCCCTCACAGAGGGAGCTCTGCAGACCAGGTGTCTCACCTGGGCCTGGGGTGGCTAGGCCACGTCCGTGAGGCCTGCAGGAGCCTGGCATGTTCAGATGTGGTCACTGGGCGGTTCTGGCTGGAACTCAGGAGGGGATGAGAGGGAATGGTGAGAGAGAAGGTGGGCGCTGGGCAGGAGGTGGGTGATGAAGATTCCAGGTGGGGAGTGTGTGGACATCCGTGCCTGCATGGCTCTCCCATCTCAGGCCCACTTGGAGTGCTCTTTGCTCCCTGCATCTTCAGCACAAGGGGATAAAAGGGACCAGAGGGCTGGGAAGGAGGCACCCTAAACTGCATAAAAACAGAGGGGCTCTCTTGGGCCTCCACCTCTCCAGGGTGAAGGAAGCAGTAGGCCCGGGCCACAGTCAGAGGGTCTGATCATCCAGGTTTCATTGACCCATTGTCCCACCACCCCACAAAGCCTTCGCTAACTGCCCTGTGAAGCCACTGGGCTGCCTGGTTTGAACAAGGGGCTACACAAGGCTTGAGTATTAGGTCTCACCGTGGGAGGGTGTGAGCTGGCATTGGTCATCAGAGTTGGCCTTGCCCTAGAGGCTGGGGGAAATTGAGAGAAATTTCCCTTACTGTTTATCCCAGGTCAACAAGAATATGCAGAATCTGAAGGAGCCTGGAAAGGGCTGGGGAGAAGGAGGTACCTGCCAGGCTGGGTCAGGATGTGCAGTTTGTCTGTGTCTTCAAGGAAGACGTGGGCTTCTGCTGTGGCTCAGCTGGTAAAGAATCCACCTGCAATGTGGGAAACCTGGGTTCGATCCCTGGGTTGGGAGGATCCCCTGGAGAAGGGAAAGGTTACCCACTCCAGTATTCTGGCCTGGAGAATTCCATGGACTGTATAGTCCACGGGGTCCCAAAGCGTCAAGACACAACTGAGTGACTTTCACTCACTCACTCACTCAAGCAAGAAGCAGAGAGCAGATATGCAGACATCTGCAGGTAGTCCACAGCAGAGGGTTGAAGGGGTCATCTCATACGAGAGACTGAAGCAAGGATCTGTATGATCTGTTCAGGTATGGAAAACAAAGCTGGAGGGGCCCGTGCTGGTCCATTCAGCACAAGCCAAACCACGGAGCCCCAGGGCAAAGTCACCACTGGAAGTGCCACCAGCTCTGGGTGGTGCTGGGGCAGGGATGGGGCGCACCTCCAGCACGAAGGCAGGAAGCAGCATCACTCTAACTCGGCAGGGGAGCCTGCAGGTGGGAGGTCTCTGGCCCCAATGTTTAGAGACTCTGTGGCAGGAGCTACTGCACAGCTGGGGTCGCTGAGACCTCAAGGGCAAGATCCACATGAGGATCAGACCAGGTCGGGCCCAAGGAAAGAGGATGAGAGCTGCTCTTGTTGTCTCAGCCCCTGACCCCTGGGCTCCAAAATTACTGCACAGTGACTGAAATTAAAAGACACTTGCTCCTTGGAAGAAAAGCTATGACAAACCTAGACAGCATATTAAAAGGTAGAGACATTACTTTACCAACAAAGGTCCGTCTAGTCAAGGCTATGGCTTTTCCAGTAGTCATATATGGATGTGAGAGTTGGACTGTAAAGAAAGCTGAGCACCAAAGAATTGATGCTTTTGAACTGTGGTGTTGGAGAAGACTCTTGAGAGTCCCTGGACTGCAAGGAGATCCAACCTGTCAATCCTAAAGGAAATCAGTCCTGAATATTCATTGGAAGGACTGATGCTGAAGCTGAAATTCCAATACTTTGGCTGCCTGATGCGAAGAACTGACTCATTTGAAAAGACCCTGATGCTGGGAAAGATTGAAGGTGGGAGGAGAAGGGGATGACAGAGGATGAGATGGTTGGATGGCATGACTGACACGATGGACATGAGTTTGAGTAAACTTTGGGAGTTGGTGATGGACAGGGAGGCCTGGCGTGCTGAAGTCCCTGGGGTCGCAAAGAGTCGGACACGACTGAGCAACTGAACTGAACTAACTGACCCCTGGGACCCAGCACTGGGTTCCTTATCTGGGCAATAGGGTGGCTGCACACCCTCTGGAGTTCCCTTCCAGCTTTCTTGACTCTGTCCAGGCTCATCCAGGCCCCACCCTGCCCTTTTCCATCTTCCAGCCTGAGTCTCCCAAGCACTGGGCCACCAGAGAGGTGACTGGGCACATTATGGGGTTTCTGAGAAGTTGCAAACAACCAGAAGTTCTTTCCTGAGAAGTGGTGGAGGCATGCTGAGCCCTGTACCCCCCTCCCCACCCCACTGGAGGCACTGGGGAGACAGTGCCACCCTCTCCTAGGCTCCCGTGACCTCTGTGGCATTCTGTGAATGAGTCTGAAAACAAACCATCAGAGGGAGAAAAAGGAAACCACCCATCCCAAAATAGCTCTCTGAAGGCTGCCTAATCCCATGCCTTTGCAGCAGAGCTGGTCTTATTTTGACCAGGCTGAGTGAGTTATCTGATGGGTCCTTCTGGACTCTCCCTCTTTGGAGTGAGTTTGCAGCACACACATGAGGACAGGCTGGGGCAGGAGTGAGTGTTCTGGTTTTGGGGTGATGGATAATGCCCTCAGACCCAGGGTGGGATGCTGCAGGC